TTTCATTCTCGTGTCTCCTGTTCACGATGTAGCTGCCATAACCCCAGGCATATCCCCTGTGATCAAGGAAACCATCCTTTCCTTGTGAAGAAAGTAAAGGCTTTTGCATTGTCCAAAAGCACCTGGCAGCACTAGCTGCCTACACAGTTGGAGAGACAGCGGGCACCACAGCTTGATAATGCCTGTAATGCTAGCTGTTGTAATGCTAGCTGGTAAACTGTGTCTGCCACAAAATCTCCTTAAAAAGAATCACCTTGTAGCTTGGTGCTGCAGGGAAGAAATCAAGTCAGGATATAGAGCCTTTGGGGTTTGACTCAGGACTGCAAACATTTCTGCTAATAGAATCATGAAAACAGTGCTTGCATTGTGTTAAAACACCTATTCACAACGCAGATGGTCATATTTTTCACTCAGAATTGGCCATAGACCTTAATTAATGCTAATAAATCCCCAATCTTTCTTCTTGTGAAAGAAGGATAATGTTTATTTCCTGTCTCCATTGGATTCTTTGATTCAGTCATTCATTTACTCAGCCATATTCTAAGCACCAGTTCCTTGTTAGGCACTGGTCTGGTGATGGGAACATGCAGATAAATAATACAGAACTCCTTCCCCTGGGATTCATGTTCTAACAGGGAAAGGAGGCCAAGGAAGGCTTTTTTTTCCCCCTAGCACTGCTGCATTTTAGCTGTGCTTTATGTAAGATGTGATATACACAAGCACGCACACACACACACACACACACCCCACAAGTACATCAAAAAGTTCATGGAAAATAGAGTTAAAAGATTAGTTTCTTTTGGTGTAAAAAAAAAAAGTTTGAAATCCATGCAGTATTTTCATTATACTCATTTTCTGTGAATTTTTAAAGATTTCCATATATTTATTTTCATTGTATTTGAAAAGCAGAGACAGACTTTCATCTGCAAATTCACACTGCAGATGCCCACAGCAACCATAGCTGAGCCACACCAAGATGGCCTGGACTTCAGTCTTGGTCAACTACATTGTTCGTGAGTGAGACCCAAGTACTTGGGTCGTTGCTTGATGCCTTCCAGGGTACAGAGTAGCAGGAAGCTGGATTGAAAGTGGAGTAACCATCACTTGAGACAGGCACTCCTTTGGGATGCAGGCACCATAAAAATCATCATACAAAATTCTTTGGAACAAAGATGATGAAATGTTAACTCTCCCACACAACTGGAGAATGCTTTACCAAGGAGATGTAACCCAAGATAGGACTTGAAAATAAGTTGGGGTTTTTTGTACAGAAGAAGTGATGGTGTGGGAGTTGCTACTGGGGGAAGAGTAACAGGCTGAACAGCATTGATGCTTTAACTGTGCCTGAAAGATCAGCTAGCTCCCTGCTAAGCATTTGAGTGGCGGCAGCTGAGGCAGAAACTAAAGGTGGGCAGCGGCAGAATCCAGACTGAAGGGCCACAGAAGCCCTGGAAAGAACTTTGGCCTTGTATGTTGTTGAAATACAGGACAAGCTTTGATCAGATGTGTATGTCAAATAGCTGTTGTGATATGGTGAGAAGTGAAGGGAGAGTGTGGTGGCAGAGCTATCCTCGAGGCTGCAACAATGGTGAGAGATGAAGGCTCGATTAGGGTAGAAAGATCTTTGAGGCAAGATGGACAACTTTTGGAAACAGGCTATGTTGAAAGAGAGAGGGAAGAATAAAAAATATTCTAAGGTTTATCACCTGGCATTCGGATGGCATTGTTCACTGGAGATGTAGGAGAGTGTGGCATCTGCTGAGCCCATGTCAGCTTCAGTTCAGCTCCTTAAAAGGGGGAACAGGCATTCCCTGTAATACTTATGTTGCCAGCGTGCCCTTCCTTTGCCCAATGGCCCCAAGCCCCGGCCTCACCCAGCTGTAATTCCTGGAATGAGGTTCTGACTGCCCCTGTGGCTGCCTTGCTCCTTGCTGTAAAATGAAAACAAGTGGCAGGAGAGGGGTGAGCATGTGCAAGTCTTGGGTTTCCAGGCACAGGGCTGTGGCTGAGCAGCTGCGGCCACCATCACTGTGGCAGGCCTTCTTGAGACCTCACTGAAGCACATTTGGAGATTGTCATCATTTTCCCCAGGCCAAGGGAGGGATTGGATCCTTTAAGATGCTTCAACTTCTTAAGTATCCAAGACTTGAAAGAATTCTTAAGAGGATTCTTTATTTTTAATTGTGCCCACTTGTTGGGTATGTGACCAATTAATTCATTCTTGTGAACATAGTAGGAGACCCGGGACCCTCTTGACCTGTGCTTTGAAGCACTGTTTTGATGGCACACTTTAATGGGACTACTAAAACACCTCTCATCACAGTGTGGTGGAAGGCCCAGTGCTTGGCCTCAAGGACAGTGAGTGCAGAGTGGTTCTCCTCCTCACGAGTTCAACATACCTGTGTCTCCCTCCCATCGCCTTGCTCTTCAGAGGTTTTTAATCTCACATTCCTACATTAATAAAACTAGCTCTTCTCCCTGGGGCCCGGAGCACTGAGTTTTAACAAACAGAAAAATCAATAAATGTGTTTCATCAGTGTCAGGATTGCTGGCAGGTGCCTCGCAGCAAGCGTTACTGCAATTGCGCCGTCGTTTGCCCTGACTCCTACATCCGAACATTTGGATCTGTTCTTCCAGTCCTTAGATGATGCTGTCTGGCAGTTCTTCAAGTGAAAGTTGATCTAGTTGACTCATCCAAATACAGGTAGAATCCTGTATTGGGGAAACAGTTTTAAGCAAATCGCCTGAAAGAACATTCTTTGTTCCAATGCTGTTTGTGAGTGGCAGTCTGAGCATTTTCATCTGCTTGGATCTTATGGAACATTCTTCCCACCAGTTAATCACCGCCACAGGGTGTCTGATTCTGTAAGCAACCCTGTGCTTGAGAAAGGTTCACAGGCATTTACTGATGGGAAGGTCAAGGTATTGACTGAGTGTATTTATTTGTCTTGTTCTACAGAGTGGGGATACAAGCCTCTTAGGACCCTGACAAATGTCTGCCTGGAAGTATCCACTTCCTTTTTCTTATATCATTCCTGCTTCATATCTCCTTACATTTCCTATAAAAGGAATGTTTGTAGTCAGTGAAAAGAAATGTACATAATAAAATATATTATTTTTAATAGATTTATTTATCCAAAAGGTTATAGAGAGAGGGAGAGACAAAAAGAGATCTATTTGCTGATTCCCTCCTCAGATGACTGTAATAGCCAGGGCTGGGCCGGGCCAAAACCAAGAGTCAGGAGCTCCTTCCAGGTCTCCCACGTGAATGGCAGGAGCCCAACCACTTGGGCCATCTTCTGATGCTTTCCTAGGCCATTATTAGGGAAAGGGATTGGAAGTGGAGCAGCTGGGACTGCACCCATATGAAATACTGGCCTTGTAGGTAGCTGCTATACTCACTATGTCACACCAGCAGCTGCTAGAGACTCCTACAGATAGTAATGGGAATAAGTAAAGCTTTTAAAATGACAAGAGAATGGATTGACATTCACTGAGTTCTTTTTTTCTTTTTACTATTATTATTTCTGTCTATTTGAGTAGCAAAGAGAAAAAGATGGACAGAGTTCCGATGTAGCTGGGTGACCCCTCAAATGCCTGCAGTGACTTGAGGCTAAGTTAGGCAGAAGCTGGAAGCCAAGAACTCAATTCACTCCCAACCCCCCACCCCGAATGAGTGGCAGGAACCCAGTCACTTGGGCCATCACCATTTCGCATCCCAAAATCTTCATTGAAGTCAGGGACCCAAGCACTCCAGTGTGGAACTTGAATGTCACAGCTGGCTTCCTAATACGGAGGCCAGGGCCCTAATGTGCACTTTATGAATTGCATCAGAGAGGTTGTACCAGTCACCATTTTCCCAAATCTGATGGGACCTTTGCAGCAATCCTAGTTTTGCCTACACTTCCACAGGGGTGAGCAACATCTAGCTCTCAGGCAACTGGATGAGACCTACAAAACCATTTGGTCTGGTCCTGTCCGAGCAACCACAGGCAGGACTCAAACTTCCATAAATCTGTAACCAACTAATATTTTAAAAAGAGTCATTTATTTTTATTTCCAAGGCAGGTCTACATATAGAGAGAAAAGGAGAGACAGAGAGAAAGATCTTCTATCTGCTGATTCACCCCCTAATGGTTGCAATGACTGGTCTACAGCCAGAAACCAGGAGCTTCTTCTAGGTCTCCCATGTGGGTGCAGAGACCCAAGAACTTGGATCCTCCTCCACTGTCTTCCCAGGCCATTAGCAAGGAGCAGGATGGGAAGTGGAATTACGAGGACTCAAACTGGCACCGAGGTGGGATGTTGGCATCACAGGCAGAGGCTTAGGTTGCAGCGCTGGCCCTGGGCAGACTAATTTTTAAGCTGCTCATTTTGTATGGCCTGTGAGTGATATTCTGAATATCCAGATGGTTCTGGGCAGGAAAAAGCCTCCCCACTCCCTTGCTAGAGAGGTACATGTGGAACAGTGTGCACTTGTCAACGCTAAGTCTGCTTAATATCAGTTCTTCTTGCAGGAGTTGGAACACTCTGGAACATACGGCAGAATTCCACTTCATAAAGGATGTTGGGAATATGGTTTCCTTCATCTAGCCAGTCAGCTATTTATTTTAGAATTATTTACTGAGATCTGAAATTCTTTATTTACTCTGATGGCAAGGGTCTACATTTCTGGAATTTTAATCTGCGGCTCATCCATTCCTACTCAACAAGCATGTCCTGAGTTCCTGCCTTAGACTGGACACGGTTCTACCAGTTCACATCTCTAGTGGTGGCTTGACAGAGAACAGCAGCAGGCACTTGACTGGGACGGGGATCCCCTTGTCACCACAGCTCACAGGAGACAGGCAGGACACACAGTCACAGGCACTGGAGTGGCCTGGGCGTGCCCCCTCACAGGCTGTAGGAGGCAGTCCGTGCTGTGGTTCCCGGTGTGGACTACAGTGAAACACATCCACGCTGCCTGTATCTCACAGTGCTTTTTGTTTCTTTCGGCCCAGAAACAGAAAAGATAGTCCTCGAGGCAGGAAATGGCTTACCATCCTGGAAGTTCAATGACCAGCTTTTTCCCTGTGAAGTGTGCGGGAAGGTGTTTGGCCGGCAGCAGACATTGTCACGGCATCTCTCACTGCACACAGGTAAGTCGGGGTCCCAGTGCCACGCACCCCTCGCTCCATGTGGAATCGTGTTGATCTTCACTCTCAGGCCTGTCCTCTCTGGCATGTTAATGTAAGGCAGTGTCAGGGTTTTTTAGTATTGTATGGAGAGGAGGTGGGATGAGGACAGATACCTCATAGGCATGTCCAGGTAAAACTGCACGCTGTGAAGAAGGCTGCATTGGGCTCTTCGGCTCTTCCAGATTAATTTTATTTATTTCAGAGGGGTTTCACAGACAGAAAGATCTTCTGTCCACTGCATCACCACCTTCCAAATGGCCACAACAGTTCCAAAGTGGGAATTCCGTTCAGGTCTTCCACGTAGGTGGCAGGGACCAGTCACTTGGGCCATCCATTGCTGCTTTCCCAGGAGGCTTTGCAGGGATCTGGAATGGAAGTGGACCAGCTGGGACTGGAACCCAGGCTTCAAATGAGATGTTAGCACATTTGGGTGCAGCTGATCATACTGCACCGTAGAGGCAGCGCTCTTTCATCTCATCCTGAGGGTGCAGCCAGCAGCCCCCCTTATTTTGGTGGGTGGGAGAACCTTGATGGAGAAACTGTTTGGTTCCCACATGACATTGGGCAAAAATTATTGGTTCTGCGGATCAATAAAGAGAAAGCAACGAAGTGAACAAGGAGTGCGGAAGGAATACATGAGTGAGCAGTACATCACAGACAAGCGAAAATAAAAAGACAGAAGGGAAAGACAACAGTCAGTGTAGGACAGAGTGGAAATCATCAAATCAAGTATGTCAGTTTTCATATTGAAAATCAGGCTTTGCAGGACTGGTGCTGTGGCTCAGTAGGCTAATCCTCCCCTGTAAGCACCACCACCCGTGTCCTACCTGGTCCACTTCCCATTCGGCTCCTTGCTTTTGACCTAGGAAAATAGCAGAGAATGATCCAAGTCCTTGGGACACTGCACCCATGTGGAGGACTTGGAGCAAGCTCCTGACTGCTGGCTCTTGCCACTTGGCTTCAGATTGGCTTGGCCCTCACATTACAGCCATTTGGGGAAAGAACCAGCAGATGGAAGATCTTTTTGTCTGTCCTTCTCTCTGTAAATCTGCCTTTCTAATACAAATAGATAAATATTTTTTAAAAAAATAAGAAAATCAGGTTTTGCAAAAATATCTCATCTACAAAAAACACAAGCAAAATGATAAAGAAAAATCCAAGGTGAAGTTTTGCAAAGACCATATTATTCCAAAATTAATTTTGTCCCTTTTCTTCTACAATTTTAATTTTTCTAATCTTAAATTCCACTGAAGACAAAAGTTAGTCATTCACTCAGCCACAAAGTAAACTTCAACATGTTCAAAGAAGTGAAAGCTTTATAAGCCTGGCTGTCTGAGCATAAATAAAGTGAAATTTAAAATAACCAAGAGCCAATAAAAGTGTCTGTCTTAATTGGATGAACAGGAAAGGAAGAAAATCTAAATTAAAATTTAAGTAACAGACATTTAGCAGGAATGAAAGAACACTTTATACTTAAACGTGGAGGACACAGCGATAGCCCTGCTCAGAGGGAAACATATGGACTTAGATGTTTTAACTGGAGAACAAAGACAAAAAAAATATATATATATATATCAAAGATCCTAACACTAATTTTACAGAATCAATGAAAGAATATCAAAATCCAGGGGAAAGATCACCATCAGACAGACAAAAGCCTGTATACCTGATTGTAAAGTATCTAAAATCAAGATGAAAATGGAAATTTAGTCATTAATACAGATAATATTAAAGAACAGTTGAAGAACAAGGACACAGCTATGAAAAACAGAAATGGGGAAATAGTAAGTTGGATAACATTGATCATTTAAGTAGAAATGTTAAAATTGACCCAAAGAGGCGGGGCAACTTGAATAAACTAATTATCTCTTTAGAAGATTCAGTATTTATTTGAAAGGCAGAGTTAAGAGGCAGGAAGAGACATACCAAGAGAGAAAGGGAGAGAGAGAGAGGAAGAGAGAGAGAGAGAAAGATTGACTCTTCAGATGGCCACAAGTGGCTAGGGCTGGGTGAGGCTGAAGCCAGGAGCTGGGGACTCTGTCCATGTGAGTGGAAAGGGTCCATGGACTTGGGCCATCTTCCATTGTTATCCCAAGAACAGTCGCAGGTAGCTGGATCGGAAGGAAGGCAGGTGGGACTCGAACCAGTGCCCATGTGGGATGCCAGCAATGCAATTGGAAGCTTACCATGTTCTACAAAATGCTGGCCCCGAGAAACACTACTAACAAAAGCATCAGTTCCAAAGATGTGCCCAGGTGCATTCTTCTCAACTTTATGAGAAAAGCCAATCTCAATGTTACTGAATCTTCCCAGGTCATAGAAAAAGACAGAAAGCTCCACTGTTCGTTTTTTGAAGGAGACTAACTCTGCATGCCGAAATTTCAACAACCTTACTTACTAACACAACAGGCAGGAAAAAAAATAAGTTTTCTTTTGGCCTCACTGCTCCTCACCTGTCCCTGCCATGCCCACCACATGTCTTTCCAGTGCTAGGGACCACTCCTTAGCATGTGTTTGTAGAACAACTGCTTGCCAGGTGTTTCCCTGTGAACTCAGGAAGACAGGCAGTGTTTTTAAAGCCAAGGCCAGCCACTGCAAATAGAATCAGAGCTAGACAATGAAGTTATTCTCCCCTGCTGATGCTGATGCCTTCGCCTGTACAACGAAAGCAAAGCCTGCACCTCCAGCTTTCATTTGCTTGATTAGGCAAATGAATGCAGACGATCCAGAACCATCCGTCAGTTTTATGAGAGGTTTTCCATTAAGAAATTAATTGCAAATTTTTATTTTATCCATGTAAAGTGAACATTTCCAATTAAATTATTTTACACAAATCATTTTCTCCTGTTCATTTCATTTGCTTTTTTTTTTTTTTTAATTATGATTTCTTGGCTGACCCAGGCCTGGAGCTCTGAGATGATGCATTCTGTAATGCTCTCCCACTGCGTTCCTGTACTGCTGTGCGGCATCCACTCCAACTGGCGCGTGGGAGAGGCACAGGACACGTGCACACTCTCACACTGGCCCACACAATATTCTTTCAGTCCCCTTGGGACTATGAGGAAGAGAGGCTGTGGGTGTACAGGCAAAACAAACCATCTAGTTGCCCTAGGATTTGGTTTACACTTTGGAAGTGTTAAGACAAGAGTGGCCTTCTGGAGAGGTTTTTCTGGAGGGTTGTTTTGTTTTGTTTTGTTTTGTTTTGTTTTGTTTTGTTGTTTTGTTTTGTTTGATACCATACCAAGTAATCCCCCTTTGTCTCCAGGCGAAATGAGGCTTGAACTAGCCTTTCATTGGAACATCCAGCCCACGAGCCTTTTAAGACTCCCAAAGTCATTTGCTCTGTCCCTGCCAAGGCAACCACAGACGAGACCCGAAGTTCAAGAAATCTATAGCACACTAGGTTTTAAGCTGGTGACACTGCAGCCTGGGAATGACATCCATATACAGAAGCAAGCAGTTGGGATTTCATTTTCTAACAGTGGTTTTGGAAATTTCCCTGTTCCCTCCCCCGACAGAGGAAAGAAAATACAAATGCCACTTGTGCCCCTATGCTGCTAAGTGCCGCGCGAATCTGAACCAGCACCTGACCGTCCATTCCGTGAAGCTGGTGAGCACGGACACCGAGGACCTCGTCAGCGCCGTCACCTCGGAAGGCAGTGATGGGAAGAAGCACGCTTACTACTACAGGTCAGTTGAGGACCGGGCATGCTGGGTCTGGGTCTGCGGGTTTCTGTGGACTCCGCCCTTCTGCCAGGGACATGACGTCACAAGCGCCTTTCTCCACCACCTGCTGAACTGTCCTTTTAGCATTCCCTCTGCTTTGGTGAATGCTGCAATGGCTCAACTCCTCTCTCGGCTTGGGTGACCCAGGCAGAGTTAATTGGAAGAGAACAGGCCCTTGGTTGGCTGTCTGATGTGGAGCTCCAGAGAGTGATAGGGCCCTAAAGACAGTTGGCATCCTAGATCTGTGCAGCTCCCACCATTACACCCCCCTTACTCCTTCCTTGCTTCTGAAGACTTTGGAAGGCAAAAGAACAGAGTCAATGCTCTCACAAACCCGAAGGAAGCAGCGTGGGAAGGATACCTTGTATCCTCAGTCATATTGCTGTTTAGTACCTAGAGTTGCGTTTGTACCTCCATGTCCAGTCATGACTCAGTATTTGGTTTGGTGGCCCTAAGACCCCAAGCTTCAGATTCTCTGCCGAACCCTGCCTAAGCTATTGGTGGAAACTCACTTTTGCATGAAGTGTCTCCAGGGAAGGGAAAGGGAAGGACAGCATCTACCAGGAGCTGTCGCAGATGGGGCTGCCTCTTGGTCTGCTGTTCGGTGACCCACGTGTGCCTTCATGGCTACATGGAAGCTTTCTGCAGCCAGAGGCAGGCCTGCAGGGGATGTGGTGCACTGAGATTGATCAATGGACCAGCACTGCTCAACACGTTGGCAACACTGCCCCACATCTTTATGCCCAGAGGAATCGGTTAGGTGATGTGCAGCATCTGGAATCTGTAGTTTTTAATTAACCGTATGCTTATTTAGCATCGTGAGAGCATGAATGGGATGGTTACATGATGCTGGCACTTAAGCCGCCTGGCACAGTGACCACTTCCGAGGCAGCCCAGAAAGCAGCCAGTCCTCTACTGCAGCACCATTTGCTGGAGAGGAAAATGCATGTGAAAGCCGCATTCCCTTAGGCTGTGCAAGCATGTTGCCCATGCTCACGGATCTGCCTCCCTCTTTCCTTTCCTGTAGTTGTCACGTGTGCGGATTTGAAACCGAGCTCAATGTCCAGTTTGTCAGCCACATGTCACTCCACGTGGACAAGGAGCAGTGGATGTTCTCCATCTGCTGCACTGCCTGTGACTTTGTCACCATGGACGAAGCGGAGATAAAGGCTCACATTGACACTAAGCACACAGGTGACCATTCCTGTCTCCTCCCCCCACCATTTTCCTCCATCCCCTCTCCCTAGAGTGCTGCTAAACCAGCAGCAGCCCCAAGCGCCCTGTGACCTGGCAAGGTCATTCTAGGGAAGGGAAGAGTTTCCAGGGTGAAAGAACTATGTCACCCTGTGGCTGTGATGGCATGACCTGGCAGACCAAAAAGCTGATTGGTTCAGATGCAGTGGGGAGGTTCGAACCATTTACTTGTCATGAGTGTGTGCTACGGTGAGAGCCCGGGGGAAGTTGGCTGATGTTGAACTGCTTGGCTGCGCCAGGGCACTGGGCAACGAATGCTGCAGGCCTGTGCCCCTGTTACTGGCCATGATGGAACATGGGCTTGTCTATTCCAGGCCAAGGAAAACCAGATTCCCCTGAAACATTTAAATGGATCGCTGTCCAGATCGTGGTCAAGGCCTGTGTGATGCTCTTCTTTCATTTCTATTGCCATTCTGTTCTGGGTGGCCTCTCCCACGTTAATGACGGTAGCGTCTGGACATCACCATGCAGTGATGCTCTCACAAGGGATGGTTACAGGTGACGCCAGCATGCAGTCACTCGGGGAACCTGGAGATTGCTCACACATCAAGGGCAGGTACTGCCAACGGCCAGTGTCAGGTGTTGGGTCAACCTCTCATATCACTAGCCTGGGAAGGGCTGCGACAAGTGAATTGCCCTGGCAGTCGTGCTGGCCATGTGTGCCTCCTCTCTGTGTTTCTTCAGCCACTCTGGCTCAGTGGTGCCAGCAGCAATAAAAGCTTGTTTTCATCAGTAAATTGAGCAGCTATGACTGAGAGGTCTGCAGAGAGCCGTTACGCTGTGTGAGGTGTCACTTGCGCCACCATAACCACATTAGCACCATGGGCAGCAGGTGAGCTGGGAAGCCCCCAGAGAAGGTAAATTAAATTCAGCATTTTGGGAGTGGCCGAGGAAGTTCATGGCCAGCCTCGCTGCTATTTCCCCCCGGCTCCACATACAGTCTCTCTCTCTCTCTTTCTCTCTCTCTCTCTCTCTGTCTCATATTAAACCTTGTTCATCTACCCTTTTTCACCCCAAAGTATGGCTGAACCTAGCCAGAAGCTTTCCTCCCTCTTATGCCATCACACGGCTCCCTCCGCCCCACTTTAGAGATATCGTAATGGATCATCAAAAGAAGTTGGATTTCTTACTGCTTCGTTGTCATTGCTGCAAACTTCCCATTCATAGCTAGCCTGTGGCCCAGGCTGTGCCTTTGCATGCTGGATTCATTCCCATCATTATCTTACCATATAGGTATAATCCCTGGGTCTTCCTGGACGTGGGGGGCGGTCTCCTGTGCAGGGTGAGCAACCCACATGGGCCCCCAGAACCTCAGCCAGAACAGTTTTCATTCCTACTCACCTCGTGCACCACAGGGAGCACCCACACCTAAGATTCTCTTGTTCGTTGTCAGGCTGTGGGGTTCCAGGTCCTGGCTGGGATAGATGTCCTTGTTCGTCAGTAACAAGAAATCAAGAGTAGAGTCAGTCTCTCTCCCTCCCTCTCTCTCTCTTTAAAGATTTATTTTTATTGCAAAGTCAGATATACAGAGAGGAAAAGAGACAGACAAGAAGATCTTCCATCTGATGATTCACTCCCCAAGTGACCACAAAGGCTGGAGCTGAGCCAATCTGAAGCCAGGAGCCTCTTCCATGTCTCCCACGCGAGTGCAGGGTTCCAAGGCTTTGGGCTATCCTCGACTGCTTTCCCAAGCCACAAGCAGGGAGCTGGATGGGAAGCATGGCTGCCAGGTTTAGAACCGGTGTCCATATGGGATCCCAGTGCATGCAAGGCAAGGATTCTAGCCACTAGGCTATTGCACTGGGCCCTGGAGTTTCTCTTTTAATTGAAATCTTTAATACCACTGCTACTGGAATAAGGTTATAACTGTTTGATTGGGCCTGGCGCTGAGGCCTAGCGGCTAAAGTCCTTGCCTTGAACACACTGGCATCCCATATGGTGCTGGTTCTAATCCCAGCGGCCCCATTTCCTATCCAGCTCCCTGCTTGTGGCCTGGGAAAGCAGTCGAGGATAGCCCAAAGCCTTGGGACCCTGCACCCGTGTGGGAGACCTGAAAGAAGTTCCTGGCTCCTGGCTTCAGACTGGCGTAGCACCGACCATGGCAGTCTCTTGGGGAGCGAATCATCAGATGGAAGATCTTTCTCTCTGTCTCTCCTCCTCTCTGTATATCTGACTTTGTAATAAAAATAAAATAAATCTTTATTAAAAAAAAAAGCTGTCTGATAAACCAAAGCCCTACAAACTTTTTTTTTAATAGGCCAGATAATAAATATTCTAGCCTCTTATTCTAGCCTCTGAGCCATATGGTTTCTGTCAGTATGGGTCAGCTCTACCACTGGAATTGGGAAGTAGTTAGAGACAAAAATGCACAAACAGATGCTCATAGCCGTGTTCCAATAAAACTTTATTTACAGAAGTGGGAGGCTAATTCTAGCCCAAGGTCCATAGTTTGCTAACCCCTGTTGTCAGTGAATGACCTCTCAGCAAGCATTCCCTGTTTTAGTGCTGCTCTGAGAGGTTGGATTTTGACCCCAAGACTTGTCAGTTTATATCTATAAGTGAATAAACAATATTAATGCAAAGTTCTGATATAAAGCAATAAGAAAAAAAAGAGAAAGGCAAGCTCAGCGGTTCTGAGGGCAGCTTGGATGTCTCCGTTCTACATTGGAGTGCCTGGGTTCAGTTCCCAACTCCAGCACCTAATTCCAGTTTCCTGTTAATGTGTGCCCTAGGATGGCAGTGAGGATGCTCAAAGAGCTGACTCTCCGCCACTCACATGGGAGACCTGGGCTGACAGCCCAGCCCTGACAGCCCAGCCCTGACTGACAGCCCAGCCCTGACAGCTCAGCCCTGACTGACAGCCCAGCCCTGACTGACAGCCCAGCCCTGACAGCCCAGCCCTGACAGCTCAGCCCTGACTGACAGCCCAGTCCTGACTGACAGCTCAACCCCTGACTGACAGCCCAACCCTTGACTGACAGCCCAACCCTGATAGCCCAGCCCTGACTGACAGCCCAGCCCTGACAGCCCAACCCTTGACTGACAGCTCAGCCCTGACTGACAGCCCAGCCCTGACTGACAGCCCAACCCTTGACTGACAGCCCAGCCCTGACGTGCTTCCTGCTCGCTTTGGCCACTAGGAGCAGCTGGGGATAAAACAGCCACAGGGAGGCCCACATCCTACCTCCCACTCTCCCCCTCCCCATCTTTCTTCCCCCCCTCCTCCCCTTCACCTCTTCCTCCCTGTCCCCTTCTCTATCTCTCTATCTCTCTCTCTCTCGTAGGAGAGGTAGTTTTGTTTCTGTATCCTAGGAAATCCACAATTCTACCTAAATGAAGTTGAAATCCTCAGGATGAGCTTTAGTCAACAGGGAAAATCCAAGCTCTCATCCTTTCTCAGGTTTTTCTCTTAGCCCATGCACAAGTGTGAACGGGAGACCGGGGGGAAGGGGGGGTTGCTCTGCAGAACTGCACTGTCCCTGCGTGCTCACTCGGTAACCCCCTTCACCCACCTAGCTTCATTCCTTGGTCCTGCAGAGAGCCTCAGAGGCGGGGGGATCGCCCCTGTGGTGCCTGGGACTTCTTCTATGCAGATTTTGCTACAATTCTAAAATACCACAGTAAATGGCACTGAGGAATCTGAATAGCTGATTGGAAAACTGCAGCCATCAACACCTTCCCTCACTGACACCAACACAAGTTCCAAACAACACACAGAATCCCTGTTCACAATCTTCCCTGGAAAAGCTGCAGAACAGGAATATTTATTAAACCTACAGAGTGAGAAGGATTTGCAAAAGCTTAAGTGATAAAAAAAAAGAAGTCACAAAAGGAAAAGAATGAAGAGATTCGACACATGGAATGTTTTTCTCTTTGTGAAAGAACAAAAGAGGGGGCAGGCTTTGTGACACTACAGGTGCCTGCTCCAGGTGCTTGCACGCTACACTGGAATACCTGGGATGGAATCTCACTTCTGTCTCCTCCCCAGCTCCCTGCCGCGCTGTGGGACTCCCAGATGAGATTCCTGGCATCGGAGGAGTGAACCAGTGGAAGGAAAATAGCCTCCTTCTCTCCCCTTGTGTGTGTGTGTGTCACTCTGCCTGCCAAATAAATGCACAAATCAGTTGTCTCTTAAGTGGCACACCAAGAATTTTCTTAAAAACTCACAATATAAGGTCTCCTGATCCAGGAGTATGAAATTAAAAGAATATTTATTCCAATGCAAGAAAATCCATGCATGATTTTTCATCTTACACATTGCCCATGAATTTTTATTTTACTTTTTAAAAATTTTTATTCTATTTTTATCTTTATGGAAAAGTCAGATATACAGAGATGATAAGAGACAGAGAGGAACATCTGTGAGTTGATTCACTCCCCAAGTGGTCGCAATAGATGGAGCTGAGCCGATCTGAAGCCAGGAGCCAGGAGCCTCCCCTGGATCAGCCACACGGGTGCAGGATCCCAAGGCTTTGGACTGTCCTAGACTGCTGTCCCAGGCCACAAGCAGGGAACTGGATGAGAAGTGGAGCCGCTGGCATTAAAACTAGTGCCCATATGGGACCCTGGCATGTTCAAAGCAAGGACTTTAGCCACTAGGCTACAATGCCGGGCCCATCCTGCACATTGTCCATGAATTTTTAAAGAACTCAGTAATATTTCAGAGTTTTTGGAAGACCAAAATAAACTTAATTTTCGTAAGTTTTTCCACTGACATTTTGAAGTACTCTAAATAAAACACTTTATTTAGGATTTATAACGTGCATCTTTAACAGTACAATTCCAGTGAGCATACCACTCCATATGTAAAAATCTCAGTGTCACCCTTTCCTTTTTCTCCCCAGCCTTTGTGCTATTGTGGCATTCTGATTACAGTGCACTGCTATTTTTGCTCAAACCACTCTATTTCTTAAACAATAGGAAGAATTATAAATGCACGCATGTTGTTTCCAACGCTCTTCATTCTTTTGTGCAGATCCATTTATACATTTGGTATCATATTTCTTCTACTTTTTAAAATTTCTTGTATAATCAAAGTTACAGGGAGGGAGGAACAGTGAGAGAGATCTTCTGCTCACTCACTCCCTAGTTGGTTGCATCGGCCAAGGCTGGCCCACGTGAAAACCAGAAGCTAGGAGTTTCTTCCAGGTTTCCCCTGTGGTGGTGGAGCCCAAGTGCTTTGGTCATCCCCTATTACTTACTCAAGAGCACTAACAGGGAGCTGATTGGGAAGTGGAGCAGCCAGAACTAGGAGCAGCACCCATGTGGAATGCCAGCATTTTAGGCAACAGCTTAACCCACTCTGCCTCAACACTGGCTGCTCTGGGTCCCTTTTGATTGGTTGATCATTTCTCCACTGGGAGTTGTATTTCTTAGTTCTTCACATACCTGATAATATAACATCAAGCATTTAAAAACGGAACATTGAAGCTTGTGTAACATGGTCAGGCCATCTTAGTAGCGACTGACACTTTAATTCTTGGAAGACCCCAGTAAACACAGACCAAATGGATGTGTGCCTGTTATTGGTTCCAGTACCACAAACATAGGTGCTCTTGGACCTGGAATCCGAATGGGTCGTCTGGGGAATTGGAAGCCTCAGCCTCGACTGCCCCAGGGATCCATCCAGGAGACTTGACTGCCCCAAGTTCAACGCCACCATCCTGAGGGTTTGCATCTCTTGAGTAAAAGACTCGGGTGATTCGTGTTTTTCAGGGGAAGACAGGAAGACCCCTAGTGAGTCCAACAGCCCCTCTTCATCCTCCCTCTCAGCTCTGAGCGACTCTGCAAATAGTAAAGAGGATTCTGACAGCTCCCAGAAGAGCAAGAGTGGGAACAACCTGCTGGTCATTTCTGTGGTGCCTGGGAGTCAGCCCTCAATGAACAGTGAGGAAAAGCCGGAAAAAGGTGAGGGACGGGAGGGAGTGTCTGCCCAGCCCTCCCAAGTCTGGAGACTTGGCCCAGCCGAGGAGGGATGCCAGGACAGAGTCCACTTGGTCCAGGATTCAGGTTGTCCTGCACCGCCTCAAAGGCATGGTTCCTTCTGGTCTGACTGCTGTCCAGTGTGGAGCTGTATGTTTAACTCCTTATGGCACAGACATGCAGGCAACAGTACATGGAAGGCGGTGGCCATCTGGAGGTGCAGGGTGGTGGGTGGGCTGGAGGCCCCGCTACTGCCCATCTTTTTCTCTCTCCCCCTGTGCCTGGTGTGCGTCTACACCCAGCTTCGGTCCTTGCAGGGTTCGAGTGCGTTTTTTGCAACTTTGTCTGCAAGACGAAGAACATGTTTGAGCGCCATCTGCAGATACACCTCATTACCCGGATGTTTGAGTGTGACGTGTGCCACAAGTTCATGAAGACCCCTGAACAGCTGCTGGAGCATAAGAAATGCCACACTGTCCCCACCGGTGGGCTCAAGTAAGGAAAGCAAGTACAGAACCTTTTACTGCGTTGTTACATACCCCCTCCCCTGCCCTCCCCCATCCCTTTCCCCTGAAGGTTGTGGGATCATGGAGAAGGGGGAACTTGATAGGAGGGGAGTTAGACAGGAACCTCTACTGCCTCTAGCTGGATTGAGTCAGACCTGTCCCCTGATGGGCCAGAGAGACAGTGGCAGGAGAATCCATGTGACAACTGTTCCAGGATTCAGGGCAAGGAAGCAGCTGTATTGGGTCCACCGCACATGCAAGGGTAGATCCTTTCCATACCGCCTCAAGTTTTGATCAGACTTCATTTTAATGGACTTGGGGAATCAGCATCCCCAGGTATCAATGGTGACATAGTCAGTGCAGATCACCATCTCTGTTTTTCAGATGACTTGCCATATTTTACATAAACATTTCAACTGTCTTGCTATCCTCCACGCACCCCGCAATGAGAACCTTGGCAGTTTGAACAGGCAGGAGGAGGTCACGTTGTTCACGCGGAGGTCGCACGGCTCCACGTCTTCGCAAGCATGCCAGTGCCTACCCCCAAAGACTAGACAACAAGCAATGCCATGAAGCAAGATTTGCAAGCAGCCCCTGGTCTCCAGTGAGACCCACCAGTTAGTGTCAAGACACTGTGTGTCGGCCCTAACTGCAGGTGCTCAGGACACACAGAAATCAAGCCCCATTCCTCCTCAGGAAAGGTTTGTCTGTGCACTACCCAATAGACTTCTCCCAGGGACGCTGAAGTTGGGAGTCAGTCCTGGCTCACAAGGCACTTACACTCCAGTGGAGGGACGGAAGCACAAGGCACACCCTTCTGAAGGCTGAAATCATCATGTCACTTAAAAAATGACAAATTCCCTAACAGGGAACTTTCGAAAATCTTCATTTTAAAACATTCTCATCATTGACATTCACAGCTTGTCAGAGAGGCAAGGCTGGAGAGACGGGTGGGAGTGGAGAGATGTGGGAAGACCCTGGAGGCCATGAGATTTGGAGGCCATGCAGGGTGGTAGTTCCAGGAACTTGCCCAATCAGGGGACCCGTCTCCAAAATGTTTCCAAACAGAAGACTCAGTAGACATCAGCTGCTGATGGATTGCACTGAGATGAAGAGGGGTGGGAGGAAGCAGGTGAGAAGGGCCTGGAGAGGGGGAGAGGGTCATTCCACAAAATCAGACCATGGGCAAAACCTAGGCAGAACTTGTTGGGGAAATTCTTGGGGTTGGTTCCACTGCCCCTTCGCTGTGTACTCTTACTTAAAAACAAAACAAAAAACAGTGGAACCAACTGTTTTCCTGTGGTTGGACTAGGTGTTAATGCCCTTCTCAGTAGCCCGTCACACCCGTGAACTTTGCAGCCCCCTGCCAGTTGTGGCTTTGCCAGTTCGCCTGTGCTCGGGAACTCAGTAGTCCCCAGCCTCTGCACCCACTGGGGAGAACGCACAGTGAACCCTGCTGCTTGGGCCGGTACAAGACACTTCCCATGAGGTGCTAACGGTCCCCTGTGTGATAGTTTATGTTCTAGGCTGATCAAGTAGAAGAATACTTTGAAACAATTGCTAATGCCTTCTGGCTATACAGTGAGTCTTTGTTTTGTTTTTGTTTTCTTTCTTTTGCCGTATCAGAGAATTCATTTGCCTGAGAGAGTGTCTTTAAGAGAAAGTATGGGAATCCGGAAAACCCTTAGCACTTTGCCCCGAGCAGCAAAAGCAAGCGAGATTGAGCTGTGGGTCACAGAAATGTACTTAACATGAAACAGACTGCCAATGTCTCAGTTGCTTTTCTGTGATGGAACTGCTTGTACTCTATATCCTGTTCATAATGCAGATCAAATAAGATTATACTATTATTTTTCTTTTGCCGTAGCTCAGGACAGTGGTGAGTTTCAGACTCCTCTAGGTAAGGCCCAGCTTGGCGTAGGGGTTGTGTGTGCACCTGACCTGGGAATGGGCTTTATATTTCTCTCGTGTGCACTCTTCTGTGAGCTGAGGTTCCAAGGCTAACGGCGAGCTTGGCGCTGAGCAGGCAGTGCACGGTGCACTTGGTTATGTTGGGCTCTGCTGAACACCACTCCAAACCCTCTGAGAACAGTCCACTCCCGGGCCCTGCCCTGCGGGAGGGCCCCTGAGCCAGAGGCAAGGCAGCCACATTTGCATTCGTATTCTGTCTGGCAAGTGAGCACACGTGCTGCAGCGGGCATCTAAGCCACCACGTCGAGCCCACCAGCTCCTCGCAGGGGAAGCTCAACCATTTGGTTAGACGTGCCCTTAGCACGAGCTCTCAGCCCCTCTGGGCCGCCAGGAGGATCGGTGATGGCGAATCCTCATGCCAACCACATGGGGAGCCCGAGCTGCCTGAAGAGTCAGGCTTGGCCCTGGGGGTATTGTCCAGCTAGATCCCAATGAAATGATGGAGCGAGGGCTAAGACCCACCCCTTGCGCCATTTATCTAAGTCACTCCTGGAGACTGCTCCAGGAAGGACGTCCTCTGTCCCGCTTGCAAAGCACACGCTGAGCGTCCCCCCAAGCCCAGTGGAGAATGAGAGGCACCTTCCTGCCCATTGGGAATCAGACTGTGCAACGATTCCTGTAGCACAGTCATGTCTCCTGAAGTCTCCAAGCTCCAGAGAGCAGGTCCTCCTTGTCCCTCCCTAGTCGATGGGCTGCTGGGTAGGCCCCCCCTCTCATCCCTGCCCCTGCCGTAGTCCTCGCCTTCCTTGCCAATCAAGAACCAGTGCGTTAGGACCTAGGTTTTCCGCATACACGTCTGTGCGTGCACACACCTCACACACCCAGGCCTTCTCATCCTAACAACCCTTTAATCAGCACGACTCTGCCCCCTGTGACTTTCTGTTTGCTGGAGGTAGCTCTCCCCCTATAAGCTGTTCTTCCAAATCTCTTAGCCTTTCTGCGTGTGCTTGGTGTGGTGCATGAAAAGTCCATTCTTTTGTGTTGCTCCCATCTAGAGGGGAGGTCAGGAGGTTTAGCCCTCCATGCTGCCCCAAGGGGAGTGGGGAGGGCTCCAGGGGGCCGGCTGGGCATGGGGGGGGAGGGAAATCCGGCTCGGGTGGGGTGGGGCTGAAGGGAGGCACCAGGTTATTTATTTATGACCTCAGACTCTGCCTGTCCTGGTGCAGGCTATCCTGTTGGCTGTTCCAGCCAAGAGACCCAGAACAGCTGAGTGTACCTCGTCAGTGCTCCTCCTTAGCAAGGGGGCTGCTCTGATGGCACTGACAGCCCACGAGGCCATCCCCACCCCTGAGAGGCGGCAGGGCTGGGCTGGGCTGGGCAGGTCAGGGCTTAGAGACTGGGGGTTGGGCGGAGCCGGGGAAGGCTAGTGAGGAAGAAGGAGAAGCAGGGCCCTGGCTGAACCTCCCTTGTCGTTGCTTCCTCCTCATCTGGCAGGTGCCCATTCTGCATTTATTCCACCAACCGCCCCGCTGCTATGGAGTGCCACCTCAAGACCCACTACAAGATGGAGTACAAGTGCCGGATCTGCCAGACGGTGAAGGCCAACCAGCTGGAGCTGGAGACGCACACCCGGGAGCATCGCCTGGGCAACCACTATAAGTGCGACCAGTGCGGCTACCTGTCCAAGACCGCCAACAAGCTCATCGAGCACGTGCGTGTGCACACCGGGGAGCGGCCCTTCCACTGTGACCAGTGCAGCTACAGCTGCAAGCGCAAGGACAATCTCAACCTGCACAAGAAGCTGAAGCATGCCCCCCGCCAGACCTTCAGCTGCGAAGAGTGCCTGTTCAAGACGACCCACCCCTTCGTCTTCAGCCGCCACGTCAAGAAGCACCAGAGCATGGACGGCCCCGAGGAGGATAAAAAGGGCCCGTGTGTGGCTCCCAAGGAACCGGCTGGCCCCGGGGCCCCACTCCTGGTGGTGAGCAGCTCCCGGAACCTCTTGTCTCCCCTGTCACTCATGTCGGCCTCCCAGGCCCTGCAGAGCGTGGCCCTGTCTGCCACCCATGGCGGCAGCAGCTCAGAGCCCAACCTGGCACTTAAGGCGCTAGCCTTCGACGGCTCCCCTTTGCGCTTAGACAAGTATCGGAACTCGGATTTTGCCCATCTCATTCCCTTGACGATGTTGTACCCCAAGAACCACTTGGATCTCACATTCCACCCTCCCCGACCTCAGACCGCCCCGCCCAGCATCCCTTCCCCAAAACACTCCTTCCTCGCCTACCTTGGACTGCGAGAAAGAGCAGAGACTGTCTGAGGACAGCCATGGTCTGTACCAAAAACAAAGAGACAAAGACAAATAATAATAATAATAATAATAATAACCCGCAAAACTTAAAACACAACCCCAGCAGGTGTAAGTTGCTGCAAAACCTACAGACCCCCTCTGCCCCCAGGGGCCTGCACCAGTGTACTGTATATGTTTAATAAGGAATAGAGAATTGGCTCTGTGTGTATACCTATCGCATTGACCTGAAAAGCTGCTTTACCCAATCTTCGGAGAGGTCACCCACTGCATACTTCTACCTTCAGAGGCATGCCTCCCCAGACACCCACCCCATCTCTCAGCCATTCCTGCCTCCTCTTCTCTGAAAGGAATTCTGTCTCGTCCAGCCCTAAAGCGAGTGTCCTTAATTGCAGTCAGCTCTCCTAAGCTCACACACCAGATGAATGGGATGGTGTGGGCTCTGGCGGATTCTGGGAAAGAGCTGCGCACGCGCGTGGCATGTGTACATCCTTCGTCCTGGCTTCTTTTAAACCTTGAAGAACCTGCTTTTTCCCTCCTGGGCTCGTTCATCCACTCCGCTCTCTTCCTGAGCAGCTCCATCGCCTCCCCCTCTCTCTAATGGCTCCAGCGTAGTAGGGCTGGGTGCTGAGTGGATGAAGGAAAGGTGGGCTCCTGCAGCGCTACCAGAGCTTTCTGACAGAGCAACCTGAGACCCTGCGCTCAGACCCCTCTGCCGAGGAGGTTGCAAAAGGCTCGCGTATGGCTGCTCTACGGAAATATCTCGCAGCACTGCAGCCAACATCACACCGCGGAAGTGTGTCGTGTGTATGTGTGTGCGTGTGCTCCTG